TCATGACTGAATAATTTAATAATATATTTTTAAAAATACTATAATTCAAAACGTTTACCCAGATGTGATAGTGTGGGTTTAATTTTTGTGGCAAATTTGATCATATGAATGTTATATTTTCTAAGTGGTAATTATTACTATTTTAGATTATGTGATTGCTTTTTACATAGTTATTCATTTTCTCTTGCACTCTCCCAAATTAGTTTTTTGCATTTCTCTTTAAAGATATCAAGTAGTTGTATAATATTTTATATCTTGAATTTATAAGCCCTTTATCAGGAGCACAGTTATACTGAAGTAGTATTGGGAAGGTATTGTCTTTCATTATTGTACTCTCTGCTATATGACAAAAAATAATGCCCTTCCAAGAGGGATTTAAATTTTATTTCTTTCCTGTATTAAGAAAATATAAGAAATCAAATCTGTGGATTATTTTGGACTTCATGACAGAGATCTATAAGGAAGGACTGAAAATTTAAAAACATATTATAACTAAGTTGTCTATTTAAGATGGACTAAAAACACTACCTCTAAATATAAAAGTATTATGATTTTAAATTATAGATTTATGAAATTTCATTTTAGCAGTTAGTGTAGTTTTGTCATTGGAAATTACAAAAGAACTGAAGTAAATAAGGTGTGAAGAATTTTATTTTTGAATATATTATTTAACTTTATTTTCCAGATTTTGGAATCTCTTTTTAAGGTAAGTTCAATATACTGCAGCTTAATCCTACTAAAATTTAATACAGAAATACATGTAAATGAAGAATAGTTTCTAAGTTTTGGGGAAGAGAGAACTCCCAAACCTTCTGCTGTGTACATATAAAAATTTATGTTCCAATTGCATGTTGTATTAACCCTCGTTCTAAACCCGAGGATAACTTGATGTTTCAATTAGGACTAATGTTTGATAGGTAGGGACACACACACACACACACACACGCGCGCGCGCAAACATTTATTTCACTGCAGAAGTTTAACTTGTCAATAACTGATACTTATTTTTTATTTTTTTTAAAAGTGGTTTCAGCATCAGGTCAATCAGATAGAGGAGGTAAGTATAACAATTTCTTAATCATTAAATTAATTAAATTAATATTTTAACTCATTTGAAAACTAATTTGATGTACTGTAAGTTATAAAGTTTTGAATACCCATTGTTCTGATTTGCAGCATTATTCTAATTCTACCCTGGCCACTCTTTTAGTTGGTCCAATTAACCACTTTTGAAACCTAGATACTTTAAACAAACAAGGTCCCTTTTTTGGATATACAATTAAAGGTTAAAGATAGAAATTGTGCCTGTCTCCTAGTACTCTCTCACTATTTTCCTTGTGGCCCCAGACTAGAAGACTTTCATGGTCTGTATACTCTTTATTTTAGGATAGATATGGCTGACATTGAAAGAATGTTAATAGTTCTTCTTTGATCATGGCACATTGGACGTATATTTCTAGAGATGTAGGGTTAAGGGTGAAGTCCATTACTCCCTTACCCTCTTGTAAAATAAGTACTTCTTTGCAACTTGTGCAATTCAGCTTGTCTTCTACCTTCTTATTTTTTATCTACCAACTTCTTTTTTATTCTATTTTATACATAGATGTGTCTCACTCTATTCTTTCTACATCTAGTCCTGTCAGTGTGCATGGCCTGTCCAGATCCTTGGCCTGTTAGTTGCTTGACCTCCTCATCTCCAAAGGTCTAGTGTCCTTCTTTACCTTAGGTACCTATTTTCAGTCACATTCTGGACCTTGTCATCAGCCAAATTGCTTTATCTTAAAAATCACTAATTCAAGAAATTTATTCTTGAACTATGAATTTCTGTTTTTCCAATTATTTCTTTAATTACTACTCTGAACACTCTTTGACCTCATCAAGACCAATTTATTCTTTTTACTATTTATTCTATTCAGCTTAGAGACTACGTACTACATCACAGCAAATTTCCTAACTTCCTAATCTCCCTTACCTTTTTCTTTTTTCATTGCATCCGTCTAATAAAACTTAACCCTGAATGAATGCAATTGTTTGACTTCTCTAGGCCTGTAGCTTAACAGTGAAACACCACTAGGGAAAGTGACACAATAGGTCAGACACAATCGATCCAAATACTGCCTGGCAGTTCTATTGCATGTCTAAAATGAATTTCAACCCTTTTAACTACCGTCTCAAACCTACTCTCTGAGTTCCATTTTCCTCTTCACTCTTTGCCGGGGACTTGGAAGGCTCAAAATACAAGGCATTGCTTTGAACTCCTTCAGCTCTACAAAAACTGACTTACGTCCATACTCATACTGTCTTCTTATCCTCCTGTAAAACAGAGATATTCTTCTTTGCTCCTGCGTAAGACTAATACTTGCATATGTGCTTCCCATTCAGTTTTACTCTTCCTTTCAGTTTTTAAGTAGGCTCAAGTCTCTCTCATTTGATAGTACATTCCCCTCCAGCTACAGGCCTATTTCTCTTCTGTCCTTCAAACCAGTTTTTTAAAATTACTTCGTATGTTAACTTACCCACATGAAGGAAATAGTCATTAGATTTTAGGAAATAAAGGCAAAAAACAAGATTTGTAAGAGCAAAAAACATTGCAGACAGCCTAGGAACAATGACACTAATTGACTTAAAAACAAAAGTGTTATTCAACTGATAAGCTAGTGCGTAGTAAAGAGATCAATCTGGGCATTCTTTCCTTAAAAGGAACAACTAGGAGTATCAAACAACTAGGAGATGTTTATGAATTTTTCTGTAAAACCTTAAGAGTTTAGCTGTGGAGTATGCATTACACTCCCATGCATCTGTCAGGTTATCATACTGTGGGGACTTGCATGTTTCTGTGATGCTGGAAGCTATGCCACCAGTATACAAATACCAGCAGGGTCACCCATGGCAGACAGATTTTAGCTGAGCTTCCAGACTAAGCTAGACTACGAAGAAGAACCTGGCAGTCTTCTTTGGTAAAGAATTAGCCAGTGAAAACCTTATGAATAGCAGCGGAACATTGTCTGATATAGTGCCAGAAGACGTGCCCCTCAGGTTGGAAGCACTGAAAAGACGATTGGGGAAGAGCTGCCTCCTCAAAGTAGAGTCGACCTTAGTGATGTGGATGGAGTCAAGCTTTCGGGACCTTCATTTGCTGATGTGGCATGACTCAAAATGAGAAGAAACAGCTGCAAACATCCATTAATAATCAGAATGTGGAATGTGCAAAGTTCGAATCTAGGAAAATTGGAAATCATCAACGATGAAATGGAATGCATAAACATTGATATCCTAGGCATTAGTGAGCTGAAATGGACTGGTATTGACCATTTTGAATAGGACAATCATATGGTCTACTACGCCGGGAATGACAGCATGAAGAGGAATGGCGTTGCATTCATAATCAAAAAGAACATTTCAAGATGTATCCTGAAGTGCAACGCTGTCAGTGATAGGATAATATCCCTGTGCCTACAAGGAAGACCGGTTAATACAACTATTATTCAAATTTACCCACCAACCACTAATGCCAAAGATGAAGAAATTGAAGATTTTTACCAACTTTTGCAGTCTGATGTTGATCGAACATGCAGTCAGGATGCATTGATAATTACTGGTGATTGGAATGTGAAAGATGGAAAAGAAGAAGAGTCGGTAGTTGGAAAATATGGCTTTAGTAATAGAAATGATGCCAGAGATTGCATGAGAGAATTTTGCAAGACCAGTGACTTCTTTATTGCAAATACTTTTTTTCAACAACATAAATGGCGACTATACATGTGGACCTCGCCGGATGGAATACACAGGAATCAAATCGACTATATCTGTGGAAAGAGACGATAGAAAATCTCAATATCATCAGTCAGAACAAAGCTGACTGTGTAACAGACTATCAATTGTTCATCTGCAAGTTCAAGTTGAAGCTGAAGAAAATCAGAACAAGTAAGTCCACGAGAGCCAAAGTACGACTGTGAGAATATCCCACCTGAATTTAGAGACCATCCAAAGAACAGATTTGATGTGTTGAACACTAATGACTAAAGACCAGACGAGTTGTGGAAGGACATCAAGGACATCATACATGAAGAAAGCAAGAGGTCATTAAAAAGACAGGAAAGAAAGAAAAGACCAAAAAGCATTTCAGAAGAGACTCTGAAACTTGCTCTTGAACATTGAGTAGCTAAAACAAATGGAAGAAATGATGAAGTAAAAGAGGTGAACAGAATATTTCAAAGGGCAGCTCAAGAAGACAAAGTAAAAGTATTATAATGACATGTGCAAAGACCTGGAGTTAGAAAACCAAAAGGGAAGAACACACTCGGCATTCCTCAAGCTGAAAGAACTGAAGAAAAAATTCAAGCCTCAAGTTGCAATAGTGAAGGATTCTGTGGGGACAATACTAAACGACACAGGAAGCATCAAAGGAAGGTGGAAGAAATACATGGAGTCACTATGCCAAAAAGAATTGGTCGATGTTCAACCATTTCAGGAGGTAGCATATGATCAGGAACCAATGGTACTGAAGGAAGAGGTCCAACCAGCACCGAAGGCATTGGCAAAAAACAAGGCTGCAGGAATTGATGGAATTCCAGTTGAGATATTTCATCAAACAGATGCAGTGCTGGAGGTGCTCACTCATCTATGCCAAGAAATTATCAAACGATATCATTAATATCACACACAGTAAAATTTTGCTGAAGATAATTAAAAAATGGCTGCAACAGCACATCCACAGGGAACTGCCAGAAATTCAGGCTGGATTCAGAAGAGGATGTAGAACCAGGGAAATCATTGCTGATGTCAGGTGAATCCTGGATGAAAGCAGAGAATACCAGAAAATGTATACTTGTGTTTCATTGATTATGCAAAGGCATTCAACTGTGTGGATCATAACAAATTATGGATAACATTGCAAAGAATGGAAATTCCAGAACACTTAATTGTGCTCACGAGGAACCTGTACTAGTTCAAGAGGCAGTTGTTCGAACAGAACAAGGGGATACTGCGTGGTTTAAAGTCAGGAAAGGTGTGCGTCAGGGTTGTATCCTTTCACCATACTTATTCAGTCTGTATGCTGAGCAAATAATCTGAGAATCTGAACTATATGAAGAAGAACAGGGCATCAGGATTGGAGGAAGACTTATTAACAGCCTGCATTATGCAGATGACACAACTTTGCTTGCCGGAAGTGAAGAGGACTTGAAGCACTTACTGATGAAGATCAAAGACCACAGCCTTTGTATGGATTACACCTCAACATAAAGAAAACGTAAATCTTCACAACTGGACCAGTAAGCAACATGATGATAAACGGAGAAAAGACAGAAGTTGTAAAAGATTTCATTTTACTTGGATCCAGAATCAACACCCATGTAATCAGCAGTCAAAAAATCAAAAGACACATTGCATTGGGCAAATCAGCTGCAAAAGATCTCTTTAAAGTGTTAATAAGCAAAGATGTCACCTTGAAGACTAAGGTGCGCCTGACCCAAGCCATGGTGTTTTCAGGCACCTCATATGCATGCAAAAGGTAGACGATGAGTAGGGAAAACCGAAGAAGAATTGACGCCTTTGAATTGTCGTGTTGGCGAAGAACATTGACTATACCATAGACTCCCAAAAGAATGAACAAATCTGTCTTGGAAGAAGTGCAATCAGAATGCTCCTTAAAAGCAAGGATAGTGAGACTCTCTTTGCTAGGACCTAGAACTATGCCTTGACTTCCACTTCCCTTTCTCCCACTCTTCCCGCTCTTCTCCTCCTCTTTATTTTCATTCTTCTCCTCCTCTTTATTTTCATTCTTCTCCTCCTCTTCTGACTTCTTCTCCCTCTTCTCCAGCTTTCTCTCACATTTTAAAAATTGGAGGTCTCTCCGTGGGTGGATCTCTGCTGTTCTCTTGTCAAAACTTTCTGACCTCACATGGCTATTCTGCTTGTTTTTATCTCTACATATTGACTGTTTCTAGATTTTTCACTGTGGTTTATTGGACACTCATTCTTGCTGAACTTTGTTTATTGCTTACAATATGAATTATCATCTGTCATCTTATTCTTTGGATCTTATTGACCTACCCACTGCCCATTACTTTTTAGCTCGGTCTGTTCCAAAGGTTTTAGATACTCAAATGGGTCTCAGTCTTCCTCATGCAAACTGAAAAATACCAGCTTTACAGACCTTTATGTATTGTGAATTAGTAGTAAGAGATACTAGCTTTTGAGAGCAAATTACTGTCTTTCTATAATTTATCACAGGGAAGACTTTAGAGAAGCAATTGTTTTAGTACTGCTTTTAAATCTTTCAAATTGCATTTAATTTATTCCTGTTTTATTGTTATCAAACTTGCTTAAAATTATATTTGTTAAAATAATAAACAGAAGATTGAATTTCAGTTTTGATATGTAATAGTCAACACTAAGCTATTATTCTGTTATTAGATAGTTGCTCTTATATGTGTATAATAATATATCAGTATTTGACTTAACTATAGATAAGAATAATATGCTAATAATTATTGAGATATGATAAAATAAATGATAAAATTTCTTTTGAGGTATGGGGAGCAGAAGGAGTATTTCCTAAGTAACTGATTAATTTTATTACTTTAGTTAAGTACAGATCAAACTTATTCAGAAGAAGATCTTCCAGTACCTGATAAAACAGTGTCTGCAGGCATTGCAGAAGTAATAAAGCAAATGCAAAAACTTGAAGAGCTGAGAGATCAGCTTAAACATGGGTCTAAATATTCCCTGAAAACCATGTTGTCTAAACCCACGTAAGTAAAATATGTGAATTAATAGAATTAAAAATAATAAGAGAGGTATATAATTAGCATTGAATATAAGAGAATGGTTCAGTTATTATGGCTATACATAGAGCTTCAAAATCAAAGCCTGAGGTCTAGTCAGCTTGCCCTGATTAGAGATGTTCTATGTGAAATTTTCAGTAGTCTGAAGTGGCACTGTCCAATATGTTAGCCACTAGCCACAAGTGACTGTTAAAATTAAATTAGATTAAATAAAAAATTCAGTTCTTAGTCACAATAGCCCCATTTCAGGTGCTCTGTAGCCACATGTGGCTGTTATTAGAAAGTTCTGTTGGTCATTGCTGGCTTTGAAACATCTGAATTATACATTCTTCTCTCATTGTGACCAGGTGGCTCTAAGTAATAAATAGGAAACTAAGGTCTAATTAAATATTTCATTTTTCACGAACACCTTGATAAGATATTGTATGATTCCACTTATAAGAAATATCTAGAATAGGCAAATGTATACAGACCTAAGGTTGTTAGTGGTTACCAGGGGCAGGTGAGAGGGAATGGGGAAGGAAGACTTATTGCTTAGGGGACCCTGAGCTTCAGTTAAGAGTGATGGAAAATTTGGAAATAGATAATGGTGATGGCTGTGCAACATGATGGGTACAATTAATATCACATGTGAAGAATGTTGAAACAGCAAACAGTTTGTTACAGGCATATTTACCACACACACACACAAAAGCTGTCAAAAGGCAAAAAAAAAAAAAAAAAAAAAAATGGTAGGGACAGGGATATAGTGTAAAAACTAAATTTTCTAGATTTTAGTTGAGAAAAACCTTTTTTTTTTTGGAGGTGAGAAGGGAGGATTCAAATGAATGATTACAGTGATACTTCCATTATTTATTGACACTTGTCATTTTTGATAACTGAGTTCTGCTGTACTGAAATTAATAGATGAGTAAATCACCACCATAGAATACCTTTAGGGTGGTGGTAGTGGTAGGTAGGTGGGAATCTGAGTAAGTCACCCATAGATTTCTTAGTTTGTTTCCATGATCTGTGGCATTTGATGATTAACATAAATACTGAGCACTCTTTTTCCCTTATCAGACTATCTGATTATTCTCCTACCTCTCCAGCCACTCTTTATATTATTTTTGCTAACTCTTCTTTTTTTCTACAGCTCCATACCTCAGCTTTATCTCTTTTTATCCTTTTTAACAAAGAGAAAATATGTTTTTACATCTGTATCTATCAACTCTATAATGATGCTTTCCAAATGTGTATATCCAGTTCTGGCTCACTTCTAAGTCCCAAATATTTATTTCCAGGTATATTGGATATTTCCACTTGGATGTTTTGCTCTCATCTCAAGTACTCTAATGTGCTTCCCATTCTTTTTTTTTTTTTTCTTTTTAGTGCTCTGTTCTTTCTCTAATCATCCATTTTTCTTCCCTCTTCATAGGGCCCCATTTTTATCAGATACTAAATATATTTTTCAGAATGTATTATTTCCTTTTTTTTAATCTTTGAGGCTATTATTTTAGTTTAGACACCTATCATCTCAAGCTAAATCATTAGAATCGTCTACCAACTATTTTTCCTGTCATCAAACTTTTCACCTCTCTATTTCACCCTGTCTCTATACTTACACCAGATTATTATTATTTTTTCTCTAAAAATAACACATTCGGGACCGGTGGGGAGCTGAGTCTCCACACCCACATACATCAAAGAAGTGGTAAAAGATGGAGCTAGTGGATACTCTGCTTCTCACCTATCCCACTTCACCTGGTGTCAGCAATGCCTAGCAGGGAGCTGAGCTCCAGTTCCCACCCTGCAGCGATAAAGCTGTGTGAGTCAACCCTCCACTTCCCTGCCCTAGTGTCAGGAACCCAGTGAGGAGTTGAGATTAATCCCCACTTGGAGGCAGTGAGTTTGTGCGAGGCAGTGCCCGACTTTCGCCAGCAAGGTATCAGTTCATATTAAACCCCATCCATCTGTGATGAGCCAGGGAGTACCACTTTTGCCATGGTGGTGTTACTGGGGCACAGTAGAAAACTTAACACACAGCCACCAGTCCTCAAGAAAGAGAGGTGCTAAAGAATAGGACTGAAAAAACATATAAAGAAGTAATGGCCGAAAATTCCCCAAATTTGGTGAAAGACCTAAATCGACAGATTTAAGAATCTGAGTGAGCCTCAAATAGGATAAATGCGAAGAAATCCATATTAGAACCAGTTTCGTAATTAAACTTCTGAAAACTAAAGATGAAGAGGAAATCTTGAAAGCAGCAATAGAGAAACTACACATTTCTTATAGGGGAAAACCAATTAGAATGATGGTGAATTTCTTATCTGAATAAAGTGGCACAAAATTTTACAAATTCTGAAAGAAAAGACTTGTCAACTGAGAATTGTATATTTGGTAAACATCCTACAGGAATGAGGGCAAAATAAAGACATTCTCAGACAAAGGAAAACTAAGAGAATCTGTTGCCAGCAAATCTACTCTTAAAGAGTGGCTAAAGCAAGTTCTTTAAACAGAAAGGAAATGATAATGGAAGAAGGTTTGTAACATCAGAAAGAAAGAAAGGCATTGGAATGGGTAAATATAACAGATTATCCATTTTCAAATGAGTTTCTTTAATTGCATTTAATAGTTGAAGCAAAAAAGTACACTACCAACTGATATGGTGCTCAGTGTATGTAGAGGAAATACTTAAGATGATTGTATTTAAAAACTGAGGAGGGTAGCCCATTGCCCTCAAGTCAATTCCCACACATAGTGACCCTATAGGACAGAGTAGAACTGCCCCATAGGGTTTCCAAGGCTATAATCTTTACGGAAGCTGCCACATCTTTTTCCTGAAGAGCGGCTGGTGGGTTTGAACCACTGACCTTTTGGTTAGCAGCTGAGTGCTTAACTACTGTGCCATCAGGGCCCCTTAATAGGGAGGACAGGATGGCCTAAATGAAAGTCATGTTTCTGCACTCCAATCAAAGTGATAAAAAATTGATACCAGTAAACTGTGATAAATTACATACATATATAGTGATATGTAGGGAACCCGGTGGTGTAGTGGTTAAGTGCTACGGCAACAGGTTTCTTTTTTCTTTTTTTGGTTTTATTGTGATATGTAGAGGAACCACTTTAAATAACTGTACAAATTGATATACACAAAAACATGATAAAAAAAACAAAACCCTGTTGCTGTTGAGTCATTTCCTACTCATAGCAACCCTGTAGGACAGAGTAGAACTGCCCTGTAGAATTTCCAAGGAGTGGCTGGTGGGTTTGAACTGCCAACCTTTTGGTTAGTAGCTGAGCTGTTAACCACTGTGCCACTAGGGCTCCAAAACATGATAAGGAAATAAAAATTGAATCCTCAAAATATTCAGTAGCCCACAAGAAGGTAAGAAAAGAGAAATAAAGGAATGAGAAACAGAGGAAACAAAGTGAAAACAAATAATTTAAAAAAGGCAAGCTTAATCTCTACTTTATCAGTAATTACCTGAAATGTAAGTGGTCTAAATACACCAATGGAAAGACAGAAATTGGCAGATTGAAAAAACATGATCCAACAATATACTGTCTACAAGAAATTCACTTCAAACACACCAACATAGGTAGGCAGAAGGTAAAATGATAGAAAGAGATATAGCATGCTAATATTAATTTAAAAAGCAGAATTGACTATATTAATATAGATAAAGTAGACTTCAGAGCAAATAAAATTACTAGAACAAAGAAAGACATTACATAATGATAAAAAGATCAGTCCATCAGAAAGACGTAATGATCCTAAATGTGTACACACTAAACAATAGAGCCTCAAAATACATTCAGTAAAAATTAATAGAGATGAATAGAGAAATAGACAAACCCACAAATATAGTTGGGAATTTCAACACGTCACTCTCAGCAATCGATACAACTATTACACAGAAAACAAGCAAGATTACCAAAGAACTGAACAACACAGTCAACCAATAGGATTGAATTGACATATGCAGAACATGCCACACAAAAACAGAATTTTTTTTCAAGTGCCTATGGAACATTTACGAAGCTAGATCATATCCTGGGCACTTGATAACCTCGACAAATTTGAAAGAGTTGAAATCATATAGAGTATATTTTCTGATCATAGTAGTGTCAAACTAGAAATCTATAACAGTAAGAAAATCTTAAAACACTGGGGAATTCAGCTACACAGCTAAGTAATTCATAGGGCAAAGAAGAAGTCTCAGGGAAGATAAAAAAAATACATAGTATTTAATGAAGATGAAAATACAACATATCAAAATATGTGGGATGCAGCTAAGGTAGTGTTGAGAGGGAAATTTATAGCATTAATACTTATATTAGAAAAGAATGGTTTCAAATCAGTAATCTAAGTTCTTACTTTAAAAAACCACAAAAAAAGAACAAAATAAATCTCAAGCAAGCAGAAGGAAGTAAATAATAAGAGCAGAAATCAATGAAATTAAAAAGAGGGGAACATTAGAAAAAAAATCCATAAAGCAGAGCTGGTTCTTAAAAAAAAGTAAATAAAATTGATACACCTGTAGCAGGACTGACAAAGATAAAAAGAGAGAAGTCATTTAGCACCAATATCAGCAATGAAATGAAGTATCACTATGAATCCGGAAGGTATTTAAAGGAATTAAAAAAAAAAAAGTCTTGCCTTCGAATGGATTCCAACTCATAGTGACCCTATAGGACAGGGTTTCCCTATAGTGACCATAGGGTTTCCAAGGCTGTATATCTTTACGGGAGCAATCTGCCACAACTTTCTCCCTTGGATCGGCTCATGGGTTTGAACCACCAACCTTTCCATTAGCCGTTTAGTTGATTCCAACTCATAGCGACCCTATAGGACAGAGTAGAACTGCACCGTAGAGTTTCCAAGGAGCATCTGGTGGATTCAAACTGCTGACCTTTTGACACCTTAAAAGATAATTAGGGAATACTATAAATAACTTTATGCTCATAAGTTCAGCAGCTCAGAA